GGAGGAGAGCACAAAATTTGGAACTGTCAACACTGAACTTCCAGATATTTTGTAACCGTTTCTTCATCACATGAACTGTTACCCGGCATCGCGCACGGCAAGCATAGGCGGTTCTAGACCTTATTCTTGGGGGTGCCTAGAGGTGGAAAATGTCGGAGACCGGCTCCAAAGGGGACGGTCGCTCAGGGGAGGCCTAAGTTTCGGCCCTCAAGTTGTATCCCTTCCCTGCCCTCCTTTCTCTTTTTCTCTCCTTCCTCTCCACTTAAATACCTGTAAATTCAATTTAGAAAATTTTTTGCAAAGCTTTCCATCAAAACTACAATCTTACCATAAAAAAAACAGTGGAATCTTTATAAAACACGCCTATCAATTTTAATTCTGTTTAAAACATTTTCAGTTAATTGCTGGGATTTTTTCTCAGTGTGGGCGAATACAGAATCTTTAAAGGCAGTAATTTCACGGTTCCGATAGCCATACTTAATATTTGCTTGGGGGTGCCTGGCACCCAATGGCACCACCGTAGAACCGCCTATGCCTTCTATTGAAGTAGCGTCCCCGCTTGGTTTTTCGGTTTTCCTGTGCCGCTACTGCAGTTTCGACAGTTAAGGCCGTAGTTTAAGGGCACTAAAGCCAGGATTGTATTTCGCAAACGGATAATTTTTGCAGAATAATTAAAAAGTAAGAAGCAGGAGAAAATTAACTAAATAATAAAAGGAGCTCAAATCAACAATATAATGCAAAACAATTTGGAAGATCTTGTCATGAAAATACGGGATGAATCGAAAACGCCTTCAATTGAGGCGTGATACCTCACGCGTTCCGGAGCGTTCAAATAGTTGTATCCCTGCGCCTTAGCAAGGCGATGGAAGCTTAGTATCGAAGTAGCGTCCCCGCTTGGTTTTTCGGTTTCCCTGTGCCGCTACTGCAGTTTCGACAGTTAAGGCCGTAGTTTAAGGGCGCTACAGCCAGGATTGTATTTCGCAAACGGATAATTTTTGCAGAATAATTAAAAAGTAAGAAGCAGGAGAAATAAAAGGAACTCAAATCAACGATATAATGCAATACAATTTGGAAGATCTTGTCATGTAAATACGGATGAATCGAAAACGCCTTCAATTGAGGCGTGATACCTCACGCGTTCCGGAGAGTTCAAATAGTTGTATCCCTGCGCCTTAGCAAGGCGATGGAAGCTTAATAGTTGCGTGCAAAATACCTGGACACATCTAAGAATAAGTGCTGTAGATGATTGTATTTTTGTTGTAGTGTATTATAAACACCATCTTGGTAATATCCTGTCATAAAATATAACCCGGTATCATATGACAGTGTCACGCCAGCATTTATCTTGGAAAATGATTTTGTGGCTATGTAAGTATTTCATAAAATATTAGAATTATACTTTACTTTCGTGAAAATTAATTTCTTAAACGCGAAATAGCAACGGTATCAGGGTAGAACCATGTATATTTTCATCCATGGTAGAACTAAAGAAACATAATATAAACAAGAATGTAACTTATTTCATCGTGACTCAAAATCTGATGGCGTTTGAGTGGTTTTACACCTTTAGTTTTGATTGAGGCAGTACAATTTTTAGGAACATTGTTAGAAAATCTGAGATGACAATTATGGCTACAAAATATTCCATATGCGACCGCAAAGGCTTCGATCAAAATTAGTTTGCTAAACACGTAATGTTCCCGTGGATTTGCTTGGAAATTTCGTGCTGCTGCCAATATTTCACCATTACCAAATCAAGAATCTAAAGAATTATTTTTATTTATTTATTTATATTTTTAAAGTTTAATTAAAGAAGGGAGGGGAGGGGCAGATAATCTAAAAATCAGTCTGCGTGAGATGACAACAAATTGACTTTGAGAGGATTCAGTCGTCACTTATCGACCGACTTTCATGAGAATTCGACAAGACTCTTCTTTCTTGCCAACAACAACGCCTTGACGCGATGTAACTATTCTCGCTCAGTGGTTACGCGTGTCGTATACACTCAGAGTTGAAGGCGCTCACGGAATGCCGCACGGTGGATCGAGTCAATGGTAGAGGTCGGTCATGGGCGACGAAAAAAAAAGTCTTATCTATATCTATATACTAACTAATAAAGCAGACTTCACGTTGATTGACTCACTCACTGACTGACTGACTCACTCACGTATCAGCGGATCTCGTGAACGGGAGGCCGTGTGACCCTGAGATTCCGCACTGAGATCCCTCTCTACCGCGAGGCGCCGGATAAGGGAGGATTTCGCGATCCGCCCGCCGGTTCGCGGGATATCGCGGTCCGTGTGGGTCGATTTTTCCGTAAGGACAACGGGTGCGAGAGAGAGTGCGAGCGAGATGGAGCGATTTCCGCGTTTCGCGCTGAAAGACAGCTGATAAATTTTACGTGTGTTCTTCTGGCGTCGCGCTGTTGGAAACGCCGCGCCATGATTGTTGCGAGCTCCGACTCGTGCATCCGTTGCCGGGCTACTCTCTCAGGGATGTGAAAATCTGGAAAATCTGTCTATGCATCGGCATAGAATAAAGAGATTGACGTAGTCTCTTCATTCTATGACATTGGCTCGCGCTTTTCGCGATTGGTTCGCGCATTGGTTCGAGTTTTCTTCCGTTTTTTGCAAGATTAGTGAAAAATGTGCTCCGCGGAACCTTTCGTTTCGTTTTTTTTTTTTTTTTTTTTTTTTTTTTTTTTTTTTTTGAAAAAATTTACCTGCTCAAGTTCGAAAGTAAAAAAATTGTTGTGATTTAGTCTTCACGTCGCCTTGAAATGATTAAGGCAAATTCTCGGGAAATTTTGAGAGAATCTGTTGCTTGGCTTCAAAAATAAAATAAATAAATCAAAATGGAACATAAAGACGGTGTGCAACGCTTCAATCGGAGGAGAAGCGGGGGTTTCGCGCGCATTTCATCAATATTTGACTCCGATCGTGGAGGGCGCTCTTGATACAACTATTTCACCACGGAAGATGTCCAAATTGCCGCTTGCTAGATTGAAGGCGTTCTATACTGTGATGACGGCTCGGTCACACTGCGCAGTGCGCCTGCAGACGCGGTGCTGACAGCGGAGCAAAACTAGAACATCGCTTCGACATTCTTCACCTGCTTTCTGTTTCTATCATAGTTTAACCAAAACACATGAGTCTTACTTGCAAAATTTTAAATCATCGCTAATGCTCTTTTTTTTTTTTTTTTTTTTTTTTTTTTATTTCAAAACATTAAATCTTATATAGGGAAACCGATGGTTACATCCCATATGGTTCTCGTGAAATTAAGATTGGATTCTTCCAATTCGTCACTTTTAACAAGCAGAATTGAAGCGAGCAACTATTTGAACTCCGGAGTGGGTATGTGGTATCATACAAAATTGAAGGAAAATCATACGTTTTCGCCCATCTCAAGTAACAGATGTTTATGAGTTTCATGCGCACATTTACGTAATCTTAATTGAGTCAGAGATTCGCGTGTATGCCACGATATTGATGTGAATAACGCGCAATTGTAATGATCTTAAAAATTCGCTAGGAACACGACGTATTTGCCGTGATACCGTGGTGATTATCGTGTAATTTCTAATTTGTTTTACAAAATCCCAGGAAAAATCAAGTTTTCTCCGCGATGTAGATGACAAACCCGCCATTGCTGTGAATTAAACGAAACCGCTGGTTAAATCCCGTAATTATTTCGCGGCTGAAACTCACCAGCTAACTTCAATTAAACATTGAACTGACAAAAGTAACAAATCTTTATGAAAATAACCAACTTTTGATTGGGAATTTTTGATTATTATAATTATCATGTGAGCTTATTGCAGAACAGACCAAAATAGCAGCATACTACTAATATCAACTTTTTAATCAAACCAGTGCGTCTCGCCAATTTTGAAATAGTAGATAATAATTCAGAAACACAATTAGTAACTGATCACTAATCACAGTGATTGCTGATGGTGGGGTTTTCCTGTGCGTAGCACGGGTTTCCTGCTAGTTTTAAATATTTTTTCTTGGTTTTCTAGCAGTTGAGCTTCCAAAATGAATGTATCCACGGTTCTAGGATCTTTGAACCCTTCCGCTTTGACATGCGGGTTGCCTAAAGCTGACATTGCAGGTGGTATCAAATTTGCCAACTAATTCTCAAGGTTTTATTTCGCTTTTGCATGAGTTCTGTGGCAGATAAATCAAAATGTCAATTAAACATGCTTATTCTCCTCCCTTTAAGGAACATTTTGGTATATCATTAATGTGCATTGGCATATTTTTAGGAGGACCAAAACCACCTCCAAAGCTTGCTTTAAAAAAAACGCCCAAAAAAATGTTAAAATAGCCCGATAAAAAAATGTCCACAAGTGTCCGCAAAATCCTTTGTTGGGTTGCCTCCTGTACACTATCAGGAATGATATTATGTAATAATTAGCCGCTGAGAGGAATTCTTATTTTTCCAATGGCTGGAATATTTTCACGGCTGCCTGGACACCTGTATAGGAGCTGTTGAATATAGGCCCAAAGTGACACTTAGTTTATAAATCCATTTATTTTGATAAATAAATATATAGGTTGACAATGTTTTAAAATAGAGTATTTTTTAAGAAATAAGTAAAAAGTGGAATGATAAAATTATAAAAATTGCACACAAGTAGAACTAAGTACGATGGACGGAGAATTTCATTGAAATTTGATAATACCTACCTTAAATATCAATGATGCATTACTGCAAATGCAGAGGGGGCGATTCTAAGTTATCTTTGGTATCAAAATTAGAATATAAAATTACAAATGAATGATGATACAAGTTGATTCAACCAAGTATAAGGATTTTAAAACTTTCACTTCTGGAGAGAAAAAACTGGAACACAATTATTGTACGTTTGAAGTAGACTGTAGCCTTAAGAGGCTAGGCAAGACTGGAGGATGTAAAAACTACACCCTCGAATTGGCAGTCAGAAACTTGGAGGTACTTTTTTTAAATGTAGATTTCTCTCCTTGTCAATTTCTTTCACTTGCTGAGCAATTATGGGCTACAAATTAGTGATACATACTTGCTGTGAAACATTCTGAGGAGAAAGTCGTTTTCAAACATTAATTAGAATGAAAGTGGTTTTCCATATTCAATAAAAACAGAAAATGTCTGCCTTGTCTTATTTTAAACGTTAAACAGAGAGGATAAATTCTGAGCCACAACCTTCCTTACACCACGGTATTGATCCCTTTCCATTAAAAATAATAAGAATAAACAGGAATTATGTGAGGCAGTAAATATAGAGGCACTTGCTTGCGATTGCTTTAACTGAGTATACTTTTATGAAACATGGTTCAAACAGCCTTTACAATGAAAAACTAGGCGCTTTTCAAGCACGTTTTTCATAATTTTTGAGCTTTTCTAGATCTGTCTCATAATATTTTCCTAAACACTTGGTTTCCTTCCCGTATTGTTAATTTTAGAGATAAAAGTTTTGTTTCTTTTTTTTTTCAGCTTCCTTTTTATCATTAATATCTGCGTGCATACTATCTCAATGTTTTTCCGTTCTCTAAGAGGGTAGACCGCAATTTCCTTTGTGAATAGGGTGTCTTCCCAAACAATCTACTCAACGTCAAATGCTTTACTCATTAAAACTTAACAATGAGCACTTACTACTGAGATTTAGTGATGAGTAAGATTTAAGCATTTTAAAAACACCTTTTAAAAAATCAAACACTTCAAAAACCTTGAAAAAAAAATTTTCATAAAAGAGTACTTTTCAAGCAATTTTCAAAACTGTATGAACCATGTGAAAGAAAGAAAAAAAAAAGGTTGAGGAAGATAATTCAATCACAGAAAAGTAACACAACTTACTGTTACAAAAGAATACAGATTTTTCATTTAGTGCTATTCTGAAGAAATACTAAGCAAACTTTTAGGACTTGAGAATGCTTAACGTGATGCTTCAATAATAATCAGGAACAGGGGCACAAGCGATTTTGACGAAGTCTTCATACTTCACAAGACTGTTTGGCATAACATTAGCTTCACGAAATATTTGCTCAACTGAAAAACAGGTAACAAAGAAAAAATATTAATTTTTCATGAAAAGGAAATTCTAAAATCAGATGAAAAGAAGTATTCTAGCAAGAAACAGGAGAAGTAGTTGGGTAACATTTTTGGGATCTCAAGAAAAAAGAGTTTTGAGATGAAAATTACATGAAAGCTTATGACACTAAATTGGACTTTCAAACTCGGATATGAAGGCAAGGATGTGAGATTCAATTTTGAATTTTTTCACCAAGTTTAGCTAACTGATATTCGAGAGGCGTAAACCACTTGACCTGGTTTCTGACTTCTTTGATTAAGTAATCAACAATCACCTTAAGTCTCCCTTAGTAAGTTCATTAGTCCTTAGTAACTCCCCTGAGTGAATTAAAAAGACACATTTTTCTGTACGCCCAGGGTTCTTATTTCTTATTTCTACTGTACATGTACAGTTTTAACAAATGTCTCATTGTAAATATTTGCCTAATTTTACTAGTTAGGTAATTGTCTTCGGAGGATAGTTAACTAGCTTACGAAACCTACATTTTGTTCTTATCATGCACTCGTCTACTTCACCCACTCACTCATTCAATCATTCATGGCTAACTAGACATATTTCTGCCAAACGGAACTATGTGCATTAAGACATGAGCCCTGAGACCCATAAGAATATGCATAACAAGTCTCACGTCATAATGCACTTGATTCCGTTTGGCAGAAATACGTCCAACTAGTCCTAAGATGTGTATTTTAACTTTAAAGTAATAGTGCTGAATTTGTGTATGCAAAAATATGCTCAAGAAATACTAAAAAAAAAGCTGACTGTTCAAAAGCCGTGGTTATTGTTGAAAAGTAAAACAATTTTGAGATTTTTTTGACGCAGATCATCCTAATTCTATTGGGCACAGCAAGTCTTACGTTTTAAGCCCCTGACTAGGAGTTTACTTTTTCTCTCGCTACTTGTCTTTCTGTATTTCTCTTATAAGCTGCCAGACTCGATGACTAATTAGTGAGATCACTGTGGTTATGGCTTTTCGGAATGTTTTCTATTTTTAAGGTGATGGTGGATGATAAGGGAAGGTCACGGATAGAGAAACATAACTTACAGGGAGGTCCAGACCTGCAAAACGAATGCATGGCGGGGAGGAAGGAGGGTCAAAAAAATGTATCATTACCTCAACATAATTAATAGTCTGTCCTATACTTATGGTTTCAAGGAGTCAGATATATCTGTGCCTCATTTTTAATCTCATTTCCTCAGCGAGCTGTCAGTTATCAAGAATTTTTTAAACTTAAAAAAGTGGCCATGGAACTCTTACCTTCTTTTGGGCTTAAATGTTCACCCCAGCGCAGAAGAAGATGCTTTAAGTGTCTTGCTGAAATGACACCTTTCTTTGAAGTATCACCAGCTCGAAACGCTTCGACAACCTCCGTTGGTAGATTTTCTACTCGACTATGATCGTGCATCACTTTCAAAAACTCAGGGAACGATAGTTTTCCACCTAAAAATTGGAAATAGTTTGGATAAGATCACTTAACCCTTGTTTTTTTCTGATGAAGAGATAAGGTTTGCTGGGAAAATATGATTGAAAGGCAATCGTTTTAACATCAAGTGGTTTCCTTTAAAAATTAAATGTTTTGCCTGTTTTTTTCACCATTTATTCTCGTTATACCCACCTTTTTAGTGTTTTTTCTTGTATTTAATTTTTTGATTAGTCCAGCTATTGTGTGGCGACTCTCTCATAATTGAAAATCAAGCGGAAAAATTTGAAGATATGGTAATTTCGTTGGCAAGCACTGTCCACGTTACTATTTCTGTACGGTTCTATTTTTGAATTTTGTTGATGCAGTTTTCATATTTTTCATTTTCTATTTACTTTTTAGACGTGAAACAATGCAAAGAAAGAAAAATTTGATGGCTTGCAAGCTCACCCGCTGCTGAAAATTTACCTTTGTCTTTGAAGTACTTTTTGAGTTCAGCAATTGTGGGGCTCATTCCTAGAGACCTCATGATGGTGCTCAATTCTTCGAGAGATTTGATTTGTCCACTTCGAGCGAATAGGTAAAAACATTCTCTGAACTCTAGATATGACAGAAAAAACTCTTCATGAGAAAAAAATCGACAGAACTAGCATTATAGTAGACAGTGACTCAAAGGGACTGCCTCAATACCAACTTCGAAGTTTAGAAACACCCGTACTTAATGTTACTCTACCTCTACAACATTTTATAGCACACTCATTGTACATATGGAGAGACTTCCAGTCAATGCAAAATAAGCCTTAAAATCATAAAACTCAAACATTTTAATCAAGTAGATGGGCATTATTTTGCATTTCAAACTGAGAGTCTCTTCATAGTTCACGATGATTTCTCACTTAAAACAATTACAAAAATAAAGTATTTAATTTTAGTGGAAGTATTATTTATCCTTCTCTAAAATTAATAATTTTCCTTAGAGGTAAAATGAAAATGTCGGAAGTTAATGATCTATTGGTTTCATTCAGTACCTGAATTCTATAATAAAATCGTTAAGTATAACATAAGTATTTGAATTTTGATACCTATCTGCTTAACGGGACATGCAACCCAGGGTGTCTTATTTTTGAACGACTTTTTGAGCTATGTTTGACTTTAATCAATTTGACACGTGATTACTTTCTCTTTTCAATGGGATCTAAATGATTTTTTTTTTTTTTCTTCGCTTAAATGGTTGCTGTTAGAGACCATTCCTAGTGATTTCTACAATATTTGGCAAAGGAATGAAACTATACTGTTGGGGCCAAATACTGGGTGAATGATCCAAGAGCATCGATTCAAATGTTGAGTACCTAGTCACCACTTTCTACTGCTGATATAGCATCTTCTTTGGGCCTGGCTATAGGTTTTTTTTTTAATACCTCCGCAAGGGGGTAACACTGTGTGAGGTTTAACAACCTGAAAAGGTAGGAAGACACAGTGTCAACAGGACAGGGTTAACCCAAAAAAAGTGAAAATTTGTCCAACGGAATGACAACTTTGCTACGTTTCCTCCATGATCCACATTTACCTCATCATGTTAGGTTTCAAAAAAAAAAAATTCCTTTTGACATAAAGCATGTTAGCAACAGCAACCTGTCTTGAGTGGGTATACATGTTTGTATACAGCCAACATTCACTGGAGCAGAGCCTTAGAATTATATTGCACTGTGGATAGCATTGTTAAAATTGTTTAAATTGAAATATTAACTTGCCCTCTGACCTGTGGGCTTCATAAAGGTAAGTAGAGGTGTCGTCAGCTAAGTTGACGGTTGTTTACTTTCAGTTTGCAAGCGCCGACGACGAATTTGGGCCTCTGAACAAAGCGGCATTCGCTACTATCCATATTGAAAACAGTCTCATCAAACATCAGTCTCATGATCGTATCGTAAAAAAACTACTTATCAGTTATGATTTTGCGACTTTTTTGCATTTTTTTGTGGTTGTAATTTCTATGTGGCTAAAAATTATAGTGTTACAAGGTTTGAAAGTATTCAAAAACTTATCTAAGCTTGTGTTCTTGCTTCTGAGAGAGCCAGATGTTTTCATGTGGATAGTAGCAAAGCGAAAACGCCAGCAAACCGAAAGTAAACAACCGTCAACTTAGCTGATGACATCTCTATTGACATTATTTGTACTGTATTGAAGCACACTTACCATCTATGTCTTGTTCACGAAAATGGTGAGCCTGCAAGGAAAAAAAGTACATTTAACAATCATTATAATTATGGTATGTACAAAGACAGGGATGAAATAACGAAAATACAGTTGCAGACGAGACTAGTGATGATGTCGCTGTAGGGATTCTCCATTTTCTAATAAAAGTAATGATCCAAAGAATACAGAGGCATCACTTTTTACAATTCAACAAATTAAAATAGACTGATACACATCACTTTCTTGGGAAAGGGCTAGGAAAAGCCTCACTCAATTTCATGTGTTAACGATGATCAATCATCCTTCAAAAGAGTAATAAGTGGCAGGAAATCTGCAGCGGTGCAAATTAGAATATATCGACGGTGTAAGTCGGCAATCACATAACTCACTTGCGATGTCTGAAAATCTACGCATCTATGTTGTTTTTTTAAAGGAGAAGAAATTGACATCATTCCTTGAAGTTTTTGCAGAATTTTCTTCGCACAGAGAAGAAAAATCACGGCCGTTTCAAAGAATTGCCGTTGAGCAGTTTTCCGTTCAAAAAATAAAGTATGATAGGAAGTCTGCGACGTCACAAACTGAGTTATGTGATTACCGACTTACACCGTCGATATAAGGCTCAGTGCTTTTATGATCAACACAGCTTTTGTTAAATGCAAGTGTTCGAGACTTGTACCTACTGATGATCTTGAATTTGACTTGCAGCATAAGCTCTTAATCTGCTGCGGGGCTGAAGTGTTCTACAAGAAGAGTCTGTCATGGATGATATTCGTGTATTTTTAGAAGGTAATTAAGAGGCTCATAAATATAGACCGCGTTTAAAAAAAAGGAACCAAGCCACATCAGCTATTGCCAAATTTAACTAGGCAATGTCATTTTTTACTAGAGAACCTTTGTGCAGATTCCTTTGAAAATTTTAGGGATTCTGCTTAGCACCATGCAGAGGATGCACTGAAATTTGCATGAAAATCCATACAACCGTTTCCACGCTATATAGGAAATTGCCCAATCAAATTTGGCAATTTTTTGATGTGGCTTGGTTCCTATCGCCTTAACGCGGTCCATATAAAGAAAATGTCCTCTTTGCATCATTTAAAAGGCAAAAGTCTAAAATCGAGTCTGGTAAAAACCCAGAGAATTAGAGAGATATTAGAAATAAAATTTGAAGGAGCCTACTTTACCATTTCAGATGATTCAGTAGAAGTTTAGAAGAGGTGAAAGTTGTTTTGAATGAAAAAGAAGTGTGATTCCACTAAGTACCCAATTGAATTGATGTGTAGCTCAAAGGAGTTTAATGTACTAGACTACTAAAAACAGATCTGGATGGCCAGGGCCAGAACCACCCAACTGATAATTGACACAGTTTAATTTTTTATTTGTAAAGTGATGAACTGATGAATAAAGGCTTCTAAAGAAGGACAGTGATTGATAACGGGAATTTGGAGGTTATGTATACATTTGACAGGCCTGGGGGGGGGAAGGGTACGATCTATCGAATTGCTATCCTATCGAATTGGCGAAAGTCGGTCTATCGCAAGATTAAAACAGCATAATCGCATAATCTTCATTTTGACTCTTTTGACCAATTACTTCATGACCCTTGACTTGATGAGATCAAACTAAATCTTATCTGAGAGGGAATTGTAAGCGTAAAACTCTTTCATCAGTCTTTAAATGATTCAAATCGCCGCCAACAACAGGTTGAAAACACTAATTGCAAAAATGCGTATCTCGTGATGAAGTGTCAATTGGACGTATTTCTGCCAAACGGAACTACCTATGTGCATTAAGACATTAGCCCTGAGACCTATAAGAATATACCTATATTTTTATAGGTCTCAGGGCTTATGTCTTAACGCACATAGTTCAGTTTGGCAGAAATACGTCCAATTCTTAGTGCTGAACAAGCCAATCTCAGCATTTCTGCCGTACTTTCTAACAGTTTGAGAAATTATTCAAAATGCTGATTGAGTCCGAAAAAAAAAACATATTATTCTTGCTATCCTCAAGAATTATTACCCTTCCACTTACAATAAAGAGGAATGTAGACAATTTTTTTACTCTCCTTGAAAATCGTGTTTTGAGATACACACTTCTGCACTTTCACCATCGTTATGTTTTACCTAAAGTAAATGGACTGAGTTTAATAGAGATGCAACTGAGTCACATCAAGTTTGAACCAAGACTGAGAGGCTTGAAATTTTATTCCTCAATAAGACTCAAAGTTAGGGTCTTAGTTTTTGAACACTATTTTCGTATTCAAAATGTTTTTCTCGACTTTGAATTTTTGACAGCAGAAAATTTACGACTACATACTCAGTTTCATTCAAAACTAGTCTTAACTTCCCCCCCCCCCCCCNTAATGCGACTTAGTGGGTTTCTGTTAAGCTCCATCTGAATAGAAATACATCCATTAATACTTGGCATTCTTGATGCAAGCGGCTCTGAATATTCTCCTGCATCCTATTCTGTCTTTAATGACGGTCCATTCGCTAGTGTTTTCCAGAGACTTTTTAACCTTGAGATGGATCTATCCATATTGATCAAAAATACAACACCATCTGACAGAAATATTTATTAAATGACTTTCTACTGTTCTCGACTCAACAATTCTTTTTTTTTCAATTGAAATCCTCATGAATTTTTTTTTTCCATAAAGACATATCTTGGTATTCCATGAAATTGAGGTGATACAATTTGAAGTTAAATTGATTTTTTTTTTTTTTTTTTGAGGAATATAAATTCTTGGGTCCGAATTAACTTTTGAAAATGTGAATGGCTAAAAAAATATTCCCAAAAAAACTATGTGGAAAAAAATGTCAAATAATACAATTTTTTAATGGTCATATATTTTTTATTTTATATATTTCAATCAAAACAGTGATGTACAGTCAGAGTGACAGGAACACCTGCTATTCAAATGTAAAAAATTCCTTCAAACTGATTATAAACATATTAACATTTTAACAATAATTCAAGCTAACTCTCTTTGAATACTCTTAGAAAAGTTTTGGAAGAAAAACTAGAGCAAACATTTTTTGAAATTAAAAAATTATAAATAAAGGCAAATCCAAAACATAACAATTTAAAAGTATGCAAATTGGATAACGATAAGTAACCAGAGAGGTAAGTAAATACAAAGAAACTAAGATTGAATAATGAAAAGACAATTCAGAGAAAAAGCTCTGTTGAAAAATCACAAGGCAGGTAGCAATTAGAACAAGTAGAAAAGTATTCAATCTCTAGAGTTATTTTGGTGGATCAACAAATAATTTTTCTCACAACCAAATGAGATGACTTACAGGAAAAGTAAGAAATCACATTTTCAAATCTCAATTGGGCAATAATTTTCATATTTAATGCAATTAAAACATACATTTCAATAATTTCGGATCTGTAGGTAGATTCACTATAAATGGTTGATAAATTGAGTTGGAATTTCTGACATCTGAAGGGCACTACTTGTGTTGTCAGGCAATCAGAATCATTCCACCTACTTTCTCTTAGGAGCAAGAATTGCTTTCGCTAATTTGAGGTTGGACTAAGTAAAAATAAAAATTTTACTCAAAAAATATTTTTTTTAATGATTTTATACATCATTATAAAAAAAATGCATTTGGTAAGAAATAACCACTTTACTATAGTCGACAACATGAAAAGTGGCGGCTGAGAGGCAAAGTCAGGTAAGCGCCTCTACGTATTGTTTCAGGGCTGAAATGCAGGTGCATAAGTACCTTCAAAGGACCTGGGCTTGCTGAAACCAATCAACCCTTAGACAATAGAGCCGCTCACTAAGTCCTCCCCTCAGCTGCAATTTTTTGTGTCGACAACTGTAACTCATTCATATGCATCAGAAATTTTTAAAGAAAAATCTATCGCTGCATTAGAGAAAAAAAAGAGAGGAAAAATTAAAAGAAATTAATTCTATGTGAGACATCATGGATGGAAAAGTCTGAAGAGGAACTACTAAGAAAACCTAAACAAGAGAAATAGAAATAAGTTGGCACCAATGAGCCTTAACAATCCGAAACAAAGTATTAAATACCAGAAAATGGACTTTTAAAAGCACTTAATGTATGCTTAATGCGACTGAATGATTAGAAACATCATGTTACGCTTTTTTGTGAAACTGACAAAAAAGAAGTAAGCTCTCCTAACTGCATAAGTTTTTAAAAATTACAACCTTGAAACATGATACTTTACAAGTATTAAAATACACTCCCGTACTTGCGCAAGATCTTAAATTTCTAAACTGGTCCACAATTGTAAAATTATCTTAAAGTGTACATTTTATGTTCTGATTACTAAATTTACATACAAAACATTTGATTTTTGTTCAGCTTGAGACATATCTCATAGGAACGATAGAGCGAAGTGAAGATTTATTTCGGTGAAAATTGCAGAGGAAATTAAATACCAGCCAGAGAAAGAAGGGATGAAGTTTATCTCTTCAAAGGCTATGAAATGGTTCAATGAACAGCTGTCTGAATTGTTTGTTATGAATATTTATGCTTTTTTTTCATGACCATTTGGACTAATTAACTGGTATCAGCCTGATGTTACCTAATCTTCTCTAATGTTTTATTCTTTTGACAGAGAATAAAACTACAGAATGCTTGTAAACGTTTTGTGAATTTAATCTAGGTTATCAAGAATATTCTCATAAAATTCCAAGTTTCCCTGTAGCTTAGTTTTCTGTTTAAAAATTAAAACTTCAGAGAAAATTAGGAAATGTCTGATGTGGTTAGGCTAATTCCGTTTGACCGTCCATTTTTTCTATGTTTTTCTATTTTTTGAAGGTTTTTGATATGTTTCCCTATAACTTGTGTACAATTTTTCCCTGTCTTTTTTAATTTTTTTTTCTCGATTTTTTAAACGATGATCCATTGTTATTTTGATAGGAGAAATAAGATAAAAGACATAGAACAAAGTAAAATCTATAGGTACTCAAGAAAAAAAAAAGTTGTTTGTAGGGTTATTATTAACGATGAACAACTACCCATCAGGAGACTTGGGCTTTCAACCTACATACTATTCGGGACGGAAAAATTATGAGCTAGATCTATTCTGGATTAAGTTCACTTATTTGTACTTAAATGTCTACAAATGTTTCATAAAAATATAACAAACCATTGGCACAACCTACAAAAGAAAAGGCTGGAATGTTTTAGTGTACCCAATGATGATAAAATAAGGGCTCATTTGTCTTGAAGCTGGGTAGAAATTTACGTTGACCTCATTTGTTTATTATTCAGTGGAGTCATACATTTTCGTTATTTTTATAACTATTTATTTTTTCTTCATACGGAATGCTGGGTAAAATTTGTACTGGAAAGAAACAGACCAGCAAGAGGTGTACTTTTGACCAACAACACACACGTCTTTGGCAAATAGTAAAATCAGACAAGTGGACAAAAAACCTACAATTGCATAGTTACGACGAAGAGTCATGAATTTCATAAAATTATGAGGACAACTGGACAAGCCCCTATACTCAAAATATTGACCAATTCAGTGAAGTCGAGAACTATTGGCTCTATAAGCTCTTACATAAACGATAGAAGTCGCTGCTTTGACTATTTGCCTAAGACATAGCCAAACTTGGTGATCAACTGAAAATTATCCAGATATTATCTTGAAAATAATTTTTGTAGAACATGTTACAACACTATTTGACTTAACAAAAAGTAATTAGTTGTGAGGACAACTGATAGCTTTTAAACACATTTGGTTTGAAAAAACAAAAGGAAAAATGGAAGACAGCAATATGCAATAAATTAGATCATTATGTTTCCTAGACAATTTCGAATCATAAGATTGGAACCATTCGACAAGTTAAAGCCAATTTAGTTTCTGTTCAGTGGGTAACATCAGAATGTTTGAGCAGCTAGAAAAATTAATATCTGAAAGAGACAAATTGGCGGGAGGGCACACATCCTGACAGTATTAGACTAAAACTCAAATTAATGAGGAGATAACAGTAATATTCCCAGAAAGACCCCAACATCTTTAATTAGAATCTAGGATCAATTTCAGGCACTTCTTGAGGTAATTGAGTTTCGAATTCAATTTATTTTCAATTGAAAAAGTAAATTTTGTTCAAAATGTTTTAAAATATTACTGATTTTTCGTCAGTATGGAGTAACAAGGAACATTTGAAAGGATAATTTGGATCTAAGATCAACAGATTTCCTAGGGAAGTAAAGGGGGAGGGGGGGGAGGGTAAAAGGGAAATACAAGAAAGTTCTTAAAATTCCAATTGCGGATTCTACATGGGGGTGAAGGAGGGGTGAGAGGTGCAGCATATGAATATAATTTAACAGCAGAGATGAATACAATTGTTTTCAATCCGAAAGAAGTAAAAATTAATAAGTTTCCAAATGTTAATGAATTGTTAACTAATGTCCGTCCAGGTGAAGAGAATCTCTAGGTTAAAGATATGTGATGTAAAACCTGTAAGCTACAGGTTCTCAGTGGTAGAGAAAAGCTGCTACACAAAGAAGCTGCAAATCCTTTGCTGCAAACAGTGAGCGGAGGTGAGTGAGACGAACCCACGCTACTGAAGCTACCCTTCTAATTTCTAGACTTCAGACATATCGTGGAAAAAACTAACAACACGGACAAGGCACAGATNTGAGTTTCGAATTCAATTTATTTTCAATTGAAAAAGTAAATTTTGTTCAAAATGTTTTAAAATATTACTGATTTTTCGTCAGTATGGAGTAACAAGGAACATTTGAAAGGATAATTTGGATCTAAGATCAACAGATTTCCTAGGGAAGTAAAGGGGGAGGGGGGGGGGAAGGGTAAAAGGGAAATACAAGAAAGTTCTTAAAATTCCAATTACGGATTCTACATGGGGGTGAAGGAGGAGTGAGAGGTGCAGCATATGAATATAATTTAACAGCAGAGATGAATATAATTGTTTTCAATCCGAAAGAAGTAAAAATTAATAAGTTTCCAAATGTTAATGAATTGTTAATTAATGTCCGTCCAGGTGAAGAGAATCTCTAGGTTAAAGATATGTGATGTAAAACCTGTAAGCTACAGGTTCTCAGTGGTAGAGAAAAGCTGCTACACAAAGAAGCCGCAAATCCTTTGCTGCAAACAGTGAGCGGAGGTGAGTGAGACGAACCCACGCTACCGAAGCTACCCTTCTAATTTCTAGACTTCAGACATGTCGTGGAAAAAACTAACAACACGGACAAGGCACAGATAAATGAACACCGTTCTCACTATCAGAACTTTATATTGGCCTGACTTTTGCACGAAAGAAACGGGGTCTGGAGAATTCGAGGAGATGTTTCCATGACTCGCAGCAAGAGATTATCTAAGTATTCTTCCAAATCTTTCTTCTGTTTTGAGACAGTGTTGAGCTGATTTTGTAAATCGTGGGCTAGTAAAATCAGGTCCTGTAACAGAAAAATCCATATTCTTACTGCTGGTGAATTATGACAGTGAAAAGGTGATAAATTACCAAGGAATGAAAAAAACAGACATTATTTTGATCATTTTGGAAGTTGCTGTAACAATCAAACATCTGTTTTCACCGATTCAGTCAATTCTCTCTAAATCAAGTATCATTGTGTAACATTTGCTACTATTTTCGGAACCTAAATAACCTTCAAACATTGGAACAACCCTTGAAAAATTCTATACATTATATTTTGGGGGTCAAAATAATGTTTGATTTGATCTTCATGTTTGGAAGCTCCAACTGTGTAAATAGCTACTGCAGCTAGCTACACACTCTCGAAAAAACACCTGAATTGTGTAAACATGGTAACCTTTATAATAAGACTCAAAGCAAAAAAATTATCTAAAATCATCATTCCTGTTAAATAAGTGTGTGTTAACAGATACCCAGAGTCCAAAATGAACTTTCTCTCTCAGTCTCGAATTTCTACCCTGCTTCTAGCCGTAAGTTCAGATTTAATTAAACTTCTTTTAGGTACCTGATTAGGACAAGTTTCAATTTTCCCATTTTGAATTTAAAGATTCTTAAGATTCTAAAATATTTTACAGAAAAATCCGAAGATTTTTCTGCTTGGCGAATATGTAATGCAATGACACTTAAAGGAAGTTTTTTAAAATATCTCTGAAACAATGAAATGTTTGCTTAAACTTTGCTACTTTGCTGGAAAAAAAAGGGAAAAAAATAAGACCCTTGCGGGTGACTATTGTTTACGCTATGTTAACCCTTTCCGGTCCGCAGCAGTTTTCCACGGCCGCGAGAAGCGAGGTTAAGGTAGCAGCGATGTTGTCAACAAAGACAGTGGTTTCCAAAGGGTCCACCAGAGGCCGCCACTTGCTGGAGCAGTTGAATATACCCGACATCAGGCCTGCACAGAGGTTAAAACTTTCGGGCGACTATATCCGACATCGGACCTAAACGCATTATTTTTCACGGCGAATATATCCGACATTGGACCGGAAAGGGTTAAAATAAAAAGTGCCGCATAAAAATTGTTGACCTAAGCACACTAGTCGTAACTATATCATGCCAAAATAAATTATATTTACTTAAATAAACTCTCTTATGTACCTAAAATACGTTCTATTTGAAATAATCCTTTTTTAAACTTAAATTTCCTTCTGGGAATGTCATAGATGTTCGCTTTTGTACTGGTTCTACTGGATGTGGCGGCCGTACCCTTATTAAACGACGATCAACTTGCAGAGGTGGGTACCAAATATTTTGAAAAGTGACTTTATGAGGCTACTCATAACTCAAAAATAAAGCAAAGGTTTCCCCGATTTCATTTTTCCAGCACACGCCACTCCATTTTCTCTATTTCTCAGCTATTGACTAAAATGCAATGGTTCAGCGATGGTTCTGTACAATACAGATTCGAATGCATAGATAGTATAAAAATTTTGGGCAAAGATTGGTCCAGACACACCAGCAGGAGTCTATTTTATGCTAAAAGTACAAATTTAATAATCAACTTTCCAATTTTTGTATTGTTTCAATGTTAAAAACTTTGTTTATTAAATGTGGCTGTCCCCAGGAAAAGAGTTTATATGTATATCTTATATTCCATACAGATATATCCGAATAGATCCCAAAGTTTCGACAGCTTTTAAAATAATTTAGTATAATCATACATGACTTGGATCATGTGAGCCAGAATTATAGTAAAATATTTATTTTGTTCTTCTAGGGATCCATTGTGCGCAGAGCAGAAGCAGAAGTAGAAGCAGAGCCAATTCACAGGCCCTGTAGTAAGCAATTTATGTATCGAGGGAAAGGATGTTGATGATTGTGCGAGACTAATGTAGAAACATCGCATATCGATAGCTAAACCGCGAAACAATGTTTCTGCATTCAGTGTTTCAAAATGTCCGCTCCTATTTTACTTTTTTGAAGATAAAAAAGCCAACTTCATGGCTTGAAATTTTAACGGAATGTTCTGTTAACAGAGAAGATAAATTGAGGAAGCGTTCGAGTTATTATGCTGAATAGTTATCCGAAGAAAAAATAATAGGCGACAGGACATCTGCAACGTTGCAAGTGGGGATACATGCTTCCGCACTTTGGCCATCGATATAAAATAAATGTTTCAAGAGCAAAGCATATATCTGCAAGTCACACTTCATGAATTGTAAAGTTTCAATCATGTTCTAATTTTTGTATTTAAAGTATATTATGAAAACCTACAGTTTCCTTTTCTGACATTTAAATAGGCTTGTTTTTATGTTTTTTCGTGGAAATAAAGTATTTGAACCAAAGACGCAATCATTTTATTTTGTATTGATATTTGCGTTTGCCTTGAGTTTATTATGTAAATGTGACAGTGTGCGAGAAAAGGACTTTAGTGGCGATAAAAAAATGCGGGCAAGGGTAAGGAAAGGACCAAGGACTCACTTACCTCTGAATGGGGAACACTTTAGTTGTGTTTGTTGCATCATGCTCTACTAAAAGGAACCTTGAGCTTTGGCCGATTCAACAATGCATATTGTTTTGCAGCATTTAAAAAGCTCAAATCTATAGTCTTTTATCTGGAATGGTGCTTGGATTTTTCTCTTTGAGCAATATAATTGAAGTGTGCTTCAATATGGGAAAAATGGTTTTTATTAAACTTGGAAAAATTAAGGAGAGATGCAAAAGACATAGGAAAGAGGATTTCTAATCATACTCACATCTCTTGTTTTACCCTGGAACTTCTGTGCGATCTCTGGAGACAAACGAGAAGAAACGTTCTTCTCGTTTTCACCTCCAATTATTATTCTTTCAAATGGCATCTTCGGACTTAGATTTTGTAGAGCTTTCAAATCTGAAAAATTTTAAAGAAAGAAATAAATGCATTTGAATTTTCATGGGCAAAGTACTGAGATACACAAGTCAAGCTTAACGTTGATGTTACTATCCATATGTCATGTTCCTTGACAAAAATTTTACCAAGAAGTGCAGGGATATTACTACACAACAGAAAAATTATGCAACCTGGATTATATTACAACCTTAAATTACAGGAAAATATTAAGATGAGACATATACACTTTTTCAAGGACAAAAAAAGAACACTTAGATTGATTGATTGTGCTCCTGCTTTGCAAGTAAAATTTGATCATCATTCAATTCAGAACAGCAATTGAGTTATTCTTGAGAGGGTCTTTTGAATGAAATATAATACTGAAATTTATGACTTGATATGAATAGTATAAATAGTATACATAGTATACATAGATACATGTGCCCAAAAAGACCTTTTTTCATCACAATTTCAGGTGATTCGATAGATGCTACATTTTAAGTCAGGACGACATGCTATATATCGCATCGATTAGTTCCATTTTTTCAGCTATTTGTTATTTTTCCCAAAGTTTGAGATCGCAATTCTGTTGTCAGGAGACTAAAGAATTCACTTATCAATTTCGACAAACGAATCCAATGTAATAAAGGCGTGGTTTTTTTAGCGGAAAAATATCACATTTGAGACTGACATCAAAACTGCACTCAAATGCGATATTTTTCCTCTAAAAAAAACCACGCCTTTATTACATTGGATTCGTTTGTCGAAATTGATAAGTGAATTCTTTAGTCTCCTGACAACAGAATTGCGATCTCAAACTTCGGGAAAAATGACGAATAGCTGAAAAAATGGAACTAATCGATGCGATATATAGCATGTCGTCCTGACACAAAATATTGTGTCCATCAAATCACCTTAATGAAGCTGTAACCTTGAGACAAAATGACCAATAAAAATGGCTGGTGATAAAGCAGTGAATGATGAATGATGTCATTTACTGCTTTAATCCACATCATGGTTATTTTCACTCCAGTCGGTAAAAGGATGAATACAGAATAAATATTACTGAGATGCGTTCAATACTATTGGCCCAGGTCAGAATAAAAAAGACACAGTAAGGGCTAACACAATGAGTGACATCAACCATTCTTTTTGTAAATGTTCTTTGTATTTATCATATAAAGACTTCGAAGAACCAGCATCATTATTTTTAAAAACTCAAAAAAAGAAGAAAAAAAGCTGTTTGCTGCATGTGGTAAATTATTTCTAAAGAGAGGCAACTCAAAAAAGCCTATTGATGTTGAAGGAACAATAAAAATATGCAGGATACATTTCATACTGAAGTAAAGGAAAAATATGGGGTAGTAGAGATTAATGTGCAGAAATAATATTACAACATATTAATAGAGATGCATTAAAAAATTATTTCATAACAGGCCATTTGAGCTGATGCATGTACTTAGTTACACTTTCTCACTTATTTTGCAAATTATATGCTGATAAATGCTGATTCCTTTTCGGAGAATGAAAGAGGTTATGCAGAAATAATACAAGGAAAAGTTAAACACATACACAATAATAATTCAAAGCAGTCTTGATTTGCGTAGACTATAAATTTGTTGGAAAAAAAATTTTCAGAATACAAGTAAAGATTCACAGAAAAATGTTGAGGTAATGTAAAAAAAAAATTGAAATTAAGTAACCATTTGTTTTGGAAAGGACCAAAAACGATGTTGACCTCTAAGTCAAGTGTTAGGACCAGGGATGGAAAGTGAAATCTGAAACGTCTTGAATAAATTTCACAAAATTTGAAATTTATTAATTTTTTTTGGAATCACAACCTAATTAAACCTTCGGAAGTCCAGAAGCATTTCAGATGATCTTTCTGTTGATGCGTCAGCATTATTCTTCCCTACTGAGGTGCTAGACACGAAGGGGGCACAAAAGGGAGTATAAAGAGAAAAGCCCCAACCTAACCTCTAAATCTTCTTCTTCTTCTTCTGTTGGTTTACTGGCTTACATTCCTAATGTGGTACCTCTAAATCTAATGAAAACATTTGCAACGCAAGAATGTTTCAGGCTTGCAGTGAAAGATGTCAAAATCGAGAATCACTGTTTCTTGGCCTTCCAAATGAATGCTAAAGAGTTTCAAAAAGTTTCATGAAATTTCCTGAGTTTTCAGAAAATTTTACGCAAAAAAAATTTCATAAAATTTACCATCTATGGTCGGGATGTGACAGTAAAAGAGGACCTTTTGAAAAGAATTGTTCTACGGGTCTGATCAATAAAAAAATGGTTTCAAATAAACAGAATAAGATATCCTAATTGCTCCAAACCCTCACAACTCAAACACAATAACAAAAAAATAAGAAAAAAAAAAACCAAAAAACAAGGGATTTGGATGAGAGAAAAAAAAATAGAGAATGTCATTTAAAGCACAGAAACTCAACAAAATATCAACATGAACCTATGAATTAAACCTCTCATCACAAATGTAACTAAAGAGTAAACACGCAGATGTGAGAGAAAAAATATTCTGCGGTTGATTTTTGATATGACACCACCACATCTTTCGGTGCTATATTTTACGGCTTGAAATGAGGTCGGATTTTCGCTGAACTTTGAATGCCATTTTCTTTGTTAATNATGCGATATATCGCATGTCGTCCTGACACAAAATATTGTGTCCATCAAATCACCTTAATGAAGCTGTAACCTTGAGACAAAATGACCAATAAAAATGGCTGGTGATAAAGCAGTGACTGATGAATGATGTCATTTACTGCTTTAATCCACATCATGGTTATTTCCACTCCAGTCGGTAAAAGGATGAATACAGAATAAATATTACTGAGATGCGTTCAATACTATTGGCCCAGGTCAGAATAAAAAAGACACAGTAAGGGCTAACACAATGAGTGACATTAACCATTCTTTTTGTAAGTGTTCTTTGATTAATTTATCATTATAAAGACTTCAAAGAACCAGCGTCATTATTTTTAAAAACTCAAAAAAAGAAGAAAAATAGCTGTTTGCTGCATGTGGTAAAGTATTTCTAAAAAGAGGCAACTCAAAAAAGCCTATTGATGTTGAAGGAACAATAAAAATATGCAGGATACATTTCATACTGAAGTAAAGGAAAAATATGGGGTAGTAGAGATTAATGTGCAGAAATAATATTACAACATATTAATAGAGATGCATTAAAAAATTATTTCATAACATGCCATTTGAGCTGATACATGTACTTAGTTACACTTTCTCACTTATTTTGCAAATTATATGCTGATAAATGCTGATTCCTTTTCGGAGAATGAAAGAGTTTATGCAGAAATAATACAAGGAAAAGTTAAACACATACACAATAATAATTCAAAGCAGTCTTGATTTGCGTAGACTATAAATTTGGTAGAAAAAAATTTTCAGGATACAAGTGAAGATTCACAGAAAAATGTTGAGTTAATGTAAAAAAAAAATTGAAATTAAGTAACCATTTGTTTTGGAAAGGACCAAAAACGATGTCGACCTCTAGGTCAAGTATTAGGACCAGGGAAGAAAAGTAAAATTTCAAACGTCTTGAATAAATTTCACAAAATTTGAAATTTATTAATTTTTTTTGGAATCACAACCTAATTAAACCTTCAGAAGTCCAGAAGCATTTCAGATGATCTTTCTGTTGATGCGTCAGCATTATTCTTCCCTACTGAGGTGCTAGACACGAAGGGGGCACAAAAGGGAGTATAAAGAAAAAAGCAACGAACTACACCTCTAGAATGGCCGACCAGTGTTAGAGACCCGGAACGTTTTGAAGTTGATATAGGTTAGGTTTACTTGGGCTCACACAGCAGGCTGCCATCTAAACCCATGTCAGACGCTGCCCACATTTTGCCGAATATTGTTGAATAAAGTGATAGCAATGAAAAGATTGCATAATAATCGCACCTCCAAAGGTTTTCTTAACTCAAAAAATAGGAACTTTGAAAGCAAACCTCAAAAAAAATGAAAGTTTACATAGGTTGAAATTTTCACATGTAATCCTTATGGGCAAGACGCAGCAGAAATGGAGATTGAGGTTAGCTATACTTGGGCTCCCACCCCCCTCCTGCCTTCAAAAACCGGCCCTTGCGCGTTACGCAGGTTTGCTATCTCGCGGCCATTCTAGAGGTGTAGTTCATTGGAAAAAAGCCCCGACCTAACCTCTAAATATTCTTCTTCTTCTTCTGTTGGTTTACTGGCTTACATTCCTTATGTGGTACCTCTAAATCTAATGAAAACATTTGCAACGCAAGAATGTTTCAGGCTTGCAGTGAAAGATGTCAAAATCGAGAATCACTGTTTCTTGGCCTTCCAAATGAATCCTAAAGAGTTTCAAAAAGTTTCATGAAATTTTCTGAGTTTTCATGAAATTTTACGCAAAAAAATTTCATAAAATTTACCATCTACGGTCGGGATGTAACAGTAAGAGAGGACCTTTTGAAAAGAATTGTTCTACAGGTCAGATCAATAAAAAAATGGTTTCAAATAAACAGAATTAGATATCCTAATTGCTCCAAAACCTCACAACTCAAACACAATAACAAAAAAAAAATAACAAAAAAAAAACCAAAAAACAAGGGATTTGGATGAGAGAAAAAAAAATAGAGAATGTCATTTAAAGCACAGAAACTCAACAAAATATCAACATGAACCTATGAATTAAACCTCTCATCACAAATGTAACTAAAGAGTAAAAACGCAGATGTGAGAGAAAAAATATTTTGCGGTTGATTTTTGATATGACACCACCACATCTTTTGGTGCTATATTTTACGGCTTGAAATGGGGTCGGATTTTCGCTGAACTTTGAATGCCATTTTCTTTGTTAATTTGATGAAATGGAAAACGCCAAAATGCAGGTATTCTCACTTTTTGCTCACTTTTCAAAGATGTAAAAAAAAAAAAATTGAGCAACAGCCTATTGAAAATACGAAACAAAAATGTAAAAGATTTACTGATAGAAAGCATACAATTAAGACATGGTGAAGCAACACACAACATGAATTTTCAACAAAGAGTTTCTCATCAATATCTGTCATTGCCTGCAAATAGGATAGAAATGTTCCCTGAGAGGTCAAAAATTGGCGGGAAAGTTAGATCATAGGAACAGGAGCTGTTCCTCATATGTTAAGTCATTCTTCAGATTCTGAGCATGTGCTAGGTGAATTTTTGCTTCCCTAACAGACATTTCCAGGAGAGAATTTGAGCCTGGCATTCTGCCGAAGTAGAAACTTTCCACAATGATCCCTTACTATGCATGAACCTTAAAGCAGCCTGCTTTTGTTATATTTTTCAGGAGGACAATTTCGATGACTCTTTAAAACGTACTTCCCACTAAGGGTGGAAAGACAAAAATTGATGAGCAAGATGAAAGGACTATGTTAGTATAAACACATAGATTACTGGAAGCAAAACTTATACATGAGATTAATGTGAGTGATTGGTACAAATTTTGTGAGGTTGGAATTGATTTAGATGAAACATGGTAGCACTCTGATCTGTGCGCAAGTAGTGTTCTCAGATGAAGCATACATATAAAATGCTACAAAGCGTTTCTATGTGCGGCTGAATGATCGACATCTTACCTGCCTGAGTGGCTCGCGATATTAGTTGTTTGGCTTTCCCCCACCCCCAATCTGTGAGAAATAATGTACACTTAATTATTGCGGTTTTTATGACTTGGTTAGGATTTTAAACAAAAGTGAATTAAGACTGATTCTCAAGTCAGTAACAACTGCATAACGTAGAAATTGATTGGCTATTATAATGTAAATTATTTTTGAAAGTCCCAGACCAGGACTTGATCAAATAAGCATCCCAGATGATGGCTGGAGATTTGACTGAAACGCTTTGGTAACAAAATTAAACAAATCAGACTAGTGAGTAAAAAAGTATTTAATGGTATTTTCAAACTTATTTGATTGGCCATAAGTTGAAGGGGAAATCAAAAATCTTGCGAAGCTGAGAGCATAAAAGTTATGCAGCTTCTTGCTCATTCTTTGATTGGTGAAATATTTTGTTTAATTGCGTTACGCTACCTGTACCGAGAACCAGTCTGATTATCTGCAGAGGTTAGAGGAATGATTAGCTGTAATGTAAAATGAATTTTTTTGTCTGTTAGGTTCCAGTCCTGAATGGTGTAAAATAGTGTTAATTTGGATCAGATCATGCGACAAACGAAACAATTTTAAAAGGGTTTTCAAGAGAACAACACAGTAAGAAATTAAGAAAAAGAGATGAACTGATCTGGTATTAAAATTTTCATTCCTGGGAGGCATCAATGACTCAACTGAAAAAGGGTGGCCCAACCTCAAATTGTATATAAAAAAATAATGATACAAAATAAATGTCTTCATACAGTCTCAGTGTTTCCACGATTTCTTCATGTTCCCATGCCCTGATTTCCCCTGACTCCACAATTTCTTGATTACCTGACCTTTGAATAAAACTTTCACTTATATTTTTTTCTCAGAACTGCTTTTATTTTAACTGCTGGCTTTTCCTAAACTCTGCACAAAATTTTTACTTCTAGCGATTGAAATGATCGCCACAAAAAAGTAACACTCAGCACTTTGTTACTACTCAACAACAAAATCTGTCTGGTGAGCAGCGCAATATTATAAATTCTCTTTGCACCATAATCTCAGGTAAAATAATAAGTTGCTTTAACAAGAGCCAAGATACCCAGCGCGTCACTGAAGGTTTACGTCTCAGTCCTGAAACATTACAAAATTCAAAGGCCAATATACTACCTTGCGCAATCGCAATGTAAAACACCAAGTGTAACATTTGTCAAGTAGACCAGTGGGACCTTCATAACTGATATGACTTTCCTACGGCAATCAACTAATTACAATTGCAGCCTGCAGAAACAAATATTTAATCAATGTTAACACTTCACAAAAGTACAGAGGAATTTTTATTTATCATGAGATTTGCTTACCATCTTTACTCTTGGTAGAATGATTTTGTTTTTCAGTGGGCGGAGGAGTCATACTCGTGCTTTTCTCCGACGCACCGACTAATTTCATATTCTTGCGGGTAGCAGGAGTGCCTGGCGTCGATGAGGGAGTCTCCGGAGACAAACTATCTTTCACATCTGCAGGACCAAAGGAGGCATGATGTCTCCTTAGATTGCTGACACTGATGTCTTTATCTGAAAAATTAAAGAACCAGATACATGAAAAAATCTCTTTCTGGGTTTGGTTTCAGTGTTTTTCTGTTATAAGAGATTGGATATTTATAATATATATTTCTGATAAAGTGAAAGATGATATCAATTCAAACTCAAGAAAATAACTGAGTTGGAACAGCTGAGTGGATCGTTAAAGCTAGGAAAGTATGAATGTTTCAATGATTGTGTACTTTTTTATTGAACTACAAAAAACAAAAATTTAGAATCGATAACTGACATTTTTATGTTTTTTTAAAATCAATCCACAACGGTCAGTTCTTTTTTCTCAGCATTTTTTTGGAATCCACTTTACCGTCTGGCTCCCACTGGCCCGCAGTTGGTATGATTTAGTATTAGCTCCTCACATGAGAAATGCATCACACTTAAACTTCCCAACGCTAATGCGCAGTATGGTTTTGAAATTCGTCCACTGGAATAACCGATCGGTGGGATTGGTCTTGTATTTTTTTAATTTCATCAATGTTATTACTACTCAACTCTTACGGTTACACAGTGCCTTAATTTAGACTACACTTAATTCATTTTATTTGATTCACCTTTTCATTCGCACACTTAATGAGCAGTTAAAATCCTGACATGCTTCAGAGGAAATCTGCTCAGTGATATTTGCAAATCATTGAGAGACAATATTGGCTATAAACTGTATTTCATAAATTAAGGCCTTATTGACTTTGAAACAAGATTTATGATTTTACTGAATTTTGAGGAGGAGCTGTAGCATCGAGCATTTGCTTACGATAAATTAACTGAAAGTAGATCAATAATGGAAATTCACTGCATAATTTTCTCATTTGATAAACATCATTTTGGCGTATAAACAGAGACAAGTGAAATTGTAAGGGTATTTTGTTGCAAGATAAAACGATTTTCACTATTTGAGCAGCAATGTAATGCTTCCAGTCCTGGATTTAGGAAGAAGCTGTTGAGGCTGAAGCCCCAGATGGCAAATTGTAGCGCTGGGTGCAGAAAGAGCACATCTCAGTTACTGTATCTCAGAATCTCTGCTGACATTTCATCTAGTGTTAGGAGGAACGCAGGTGTACTGAGGAAAGCAGATGAATAAATTTCATCAAAACTTTCATTGAATACTCTCTATGATTTTACAATGTTCTTGACACAACAATCCAGAAAAAGTATTCAATAGGTCTTTACAAAATTTAACAACATTTGCAACAGCAATTCTGAAACTTTGCTAACTTAGAAGTGCCTTTCCTAAACTCAGCGCGTTAATTATAGATAAGCATCAGTAGATTTTCACAGTGATTACTTTCTTCTTCTTATTTTCTTTCTGGTTTTATTATACCCCACAGTAATATCACACAACATCAGAAAGGAAAAAGGAAAAGAGGAAGAAAGGGTCACTTTTTATGGGTCCAGATTGAAAAATTTTGGATCCTGCCTTAAATGATTTTGGTCCATTTTGGCAAAATTCAGTGCAATTCCGTCTCTTATAGAAATACTACATTTTATTGATGAGCAATTATTAGATAAATTGAACGAACTTCAGATACCTTTTTTCGCATAAAGCTTCTGCTCCCATTCATCGACTTTGGGTTCTGGCGGAGTGGCACGAGGTGGTTTCGCAGGAGCACTTGTTGTTGAGGGATTTGAACCAACAGAACTATTGGCGATTGATTTCCGCAGAAATTCTCCACCAGCAAGATTCTCCATTGATCCACTGACTGGCGTGTTAGTCTGAGTAAAACTGAGAGATCCAGTTGAGCCTCGTTGCGATAAATCTTCAAACTAAACAAGTAAACATAAATCATATATTAAATATAAATTTCATACTAAAAGTAAAAGAATCTTTACGAATTGTAAATAAAACAAGGTCTGATTCAAACACTGAAATATGCCCGCACCAAATAGGCTTACATGAAGAATATCAATGATGAACTGCAGAAATGCATGTCTTGGTTTGCAGCGATGTAGACTTCCTTTCATACTTCATTTTCGACATGGAAAATTACTAGACATCATTTTTTTTCTCTACTTGAAAGAACTCTGTGAAAATTTCAAGCCATGATGTTGGTTTGGTATCTTTTTCCAAAAAAATAGGAGCAAAGGCTTTGAAACACCGAAACCAAGATACGCATTTTTGCAGTTTCACCGTTGATGTACATTTTCCACTTTAAACCTACTTGTCAAAGCGAATACTGATTGACAATACTCTGAATCATAATTCAAGATTTTGAATTCATTTGGTGTTTATCTATGTTAGGCGCATTCCTATGACTGCCTGTCCACATTCTAAAAAATCCCAGCACATTTCAGCGTAAAGAGAATTTTTTTAAGGAGCACTTACCAATATCAATTTTAAGCAACAGTTCAAGGTAACAGAGACAACATCACTCACAGTTTTAAAGCCATAATGATAGTTAGTCTTTAAAAAAATAAAAAATAAAATATGGAAAAAATAATAGTAAATATGGATAAAATGTGGAAATATGGAAAATGTGGATATATAACAGAGGTGTAGCGTAGTTCTTGCAGTAAGGCTTGAAGATATTCAACTCTAAAGAGGGGCACTTTGTCTCAGAGATGTGCAAAGCAGTTAATTCAATACAAACGAACATAAGAAACGTTGAAGAAAGAACAAATTTCATCATTGACTAATTGTGAGATTCAGTTACTTTTTACTTCAGTTGCTCAGAAAGCAGACCAAGCTCTAGACTAGAAAGCTAAGATTCTTCGACTGATTTTTTTCGAGATCTACTTCACTTGCAACAATTTGATCCTGTTAGAAAAAAAAAGAAAAAAAGAGAAAAAATTGACTTCTACCGTTTAAGTTTAAAAGAAGTACAAAATAAAAGAGAAATAACCAAAACTGAAAAAGGGGAGGGGGTACTTACAGCAAATTCATCATCGTCACTGATGACTCCAGGATCTGCATCTCCTTTACGTTGCACTGACGGCCTCGTGTCGATTGCAAGTCCTGATATTGAACCAGACCCTTTAAAGTTACCCTCCTCGCGCAGTTTTTTCTCTCTTCTCACTTTATTTCCTGCAGAAAAAGCAAATATAAGCACACATCCGACGTATAGAAAAAACCACAGCATAGTTAGAACCAGGATATTTTTGCTTGATCTACACACGTTGTTAATTTTTCCAGAGAATCGAGACTTAAGGTCCAAAACACCTTTACTAGTATCAGTTGATTTTCTTGATGATGGGGTGCAAACAAATCATTTAATAAAGACAGTGTATTTATACTCTACGTTAAATAAGTCAACACTAATAGCTAGATCTGCCAATTCTGAAAAAAAAAATCAGAACTAATTCGTTTAGAACTCAGACTATTTTGAACTCATAAGAATTTTCTAGAGATCGAATTAAGTTTGAATGGTTTTGGCTTTAAAATTAGCTGAAAACCCTTACATAGAAAGACTAAAGGGCATGTTATTGTCAAAAGCTTTGATTCCTACTAAAAACATTTATTGCCCAATCAATCTGCAATTCAAGTTCTGCAATTAAAATAGTCATGCAATGAGACGTCAATAATAACACAACAAACCGGAAAAATAAAGAGAAAAAGGAGGGAGAGAAGGAAGTTAGATAAATGAAGAGCATTTTGTCTCAGCTCATAAAATTATACTGAGATACTCATGACCTTAGAGGGAATATTTCTTGATGCATTTTTTGAAGTTCACAGTCCGACCTTCAATTAAATGAAATCAATTTGATAACTGTAATTTTTGTACGCCATTTGTCTTGATCATTCCTCAATTTCATAGCTTTCACTTCTCTGTAAATGCTCGTTCTTGCTTTAAGGGGTCATTCAAGTGTTATAAAAGCCACTTAAAGAAGAGAACATCTGAGGGGCTTGGAGGACGAGGTGCATGAGAGCAGTTGTTGAAAAAATTAGGATATTAATGATTTCAAGTAAAACTAGTCTTAATACATTATGTGAAAGATTTGCTCCCAAATTCCAATTTTATAGCATCAAAAAGTCAGTTTGAAATTCCTTCCTGCCATGAGAATCCATATAATTTCGAAACTTCACACACGTATTTCTCGAAATGGCACAAATTGCATTTATGCACCTTGCTCTCTAAGCCCCTCATCTGAGCTTGGTTCATGGAATTTAACGNGGGGGGGGGGGGGGTGAGTTCAGGCTCATAGTTTGCTTTCCTCTAAGCCTTCCAAATGAACAAATATTTTCCAAAAAAATACTTTTTACCCAGCAATTTTTCAGGTTTTCTGTGTCACTTTTTTAAAAAAAAAAAATTGATGAGGGGGGAGAGGTTGGCTCACAGGAGGGGGAGGGGAGGGGCAAAAATGGCTTGCATAACACTTGAGCGGCTCCCAATAGCCATATCTCATCTTTCTATTCTCCCTCTGCCCCCTGTGAACGAAAGCTGTGATTTTTACTCTCTTTTTGAGGGTTAGTTTTAAGATAAGCAACACTCTAATTTTTCCAGAAATATCAATACTACAAGCAATCCAATGCTGACCATTAGTTGCAAACTTTTAGATTTAGTTAGAGTGTTAATTTGTTAGATTTTGATTGGGGTTAGTGCTAAGGATGCCGAGAGTTTCATGCAAAAAATTTTACTCTCAATATCTGATCTACAAGCACAAAAACTGTGTTAAAAAAACAAAATCGATTAGATTCCGCACGCTAAGAGACAGGTATACGGACAAAAAAATTGCTAATGTCAGTTAAACATTTAAAGCTACTTTTGGACAGATTTTATTAAGGAAAGAAGACATTTTTGTAGATTTGGTATGCACCAGAGGATCTCTCCAAGAGAGTCCAATTCTATTATTTTATTATTTCTTTCAGTTACATGCATGCATAATTAGAAATTAAAATGTTACCTAGATCAATAGTTTACTTTTATTGTGTATTAATGTTATTCATGCATCAGTTTAGAGGAGCATTATTGTGATCATGCGTTCATTTCAGAGAAACAGTGTGTTATTCATGCATCAGTTTTAAAATACATCAAAGAAACTGAAGTGTTAGAGGAAGGAAATAAGTGTGTTATTGATTAGATATTGCCAAAGATAGAAATAGAAGTCTACTCATTCCAACTTAAAGCTTGCCATTCAGAAGACAGAATTCGGAAATAAAATTCAGAACTGACCTCCATCCATTTTGAAACCTTTGATAACCATTAGCAAGATGTAAGAAAAAGGGGAAAAAACATAAAATGTGATCAGATAAACAGACAAATATCCAAATAAATACAATGACTATAAATAAATAAAAACGGAAAGTTTGACCTATTAATTATTTATGAAACTATTTCACAACTAGATCAATTTTCAGAGGAAGAACTAAACAGCACAGACCCAGGTAAGAGGAAAACTGGAATGACTATGGTTTGACTCCTAAGCCATGAAAAAGTAGGGCAAGTGACCAAGGTTAATGGCAAGACAATTTTCTGATAAGTTCTTGGTTACAATTGGTCATAGATATCCTGTACACTTCACTTTTTGAGAATGAGTTACATTCTTATCAGCAAAAATTTTCTAAAATGTATTTCGACCAAGTGTAAAGGATTTATTTGCTTTTATTTTTTCTTTTTTGAAAACTGAAAAATTAAAGCAAAGAATTACTTTAAGTTGAAGATTAGATTCAGAATTGAGAAGGGAAAAAACGACGAATATTAAAGGAAATTTTTTGTTTTATATTAAGGGACGGAGGGAGAAAATTATTACTAAAGCGAAAATACTCGCCACAATGAAGAGATTACTGAGGGGAAGATCATTATGTGATCTTCAAAAATCGTTTTGAATCTTCCCAAGTTGTGTGCTTTTATTCTAAAGGTTTTAATTATTTACAAGTCGTTTCCAAAGTTATAGCTATTAGAGGGGGAAAAAATGAAACAAAGACATCAATAGAGAAAATTTTCATGATCTTGTTGTTTTCTTCCATTTATATTTTAATTCGCTCATAATTTTTCACTTTTTTTTTCCCTCTCAGCGAATTTTTCATTTTTGAATTTTTTTTCCTAGCTTTGCTTGTTTTTTTTTTTTCGTTTTTTATTCAAATCATGAGTTTTGTGATGCACTATTTTATTAATTCTCTAAAGATAAAATACATGAAAGGAACCAGAGGGTAGCGGGGGTTGCAACAATAGGCTATATATATCTGAACATTGGGACTGCTATAAAAGTTTCATTAAAAAAGATAGAGAGGAAGACAAAGTGAAAATAAGGGAATATCAAATTCCAGATTAAAATGACAGTACAGCAAATGACAAGGAATAAAATCCAAAAACCTTAAAATAGAAGAGACTACGCTCTGAAGTATTCACAGAAATTGAGTTCCCCATTTAAAGAAGTTCAACGTAGGAGTTTTCAACCACAGGTCTGCAAAGACAAGTCATAAATATGGCAAATTTTTTATCTAAAAGGAGGCAGTGCCCAATTTTCCAAGGAGAAAATTGTATCGACTGTGCATTGGTATCAGAGGTGGCTCTTAATATTTATGCATTTTAACCTAAAATCACTGCTCAAAATTTTACACATGAAATTTTACTGGCTAAAGAGTTAAATAATTTTATTTTATTTAACTTTTAAAGGTACATTGCATTTGGCAAAAAGGAACCATGAGCATTCCAATGTTGCTAGGATTGGGCAACTTACATTCCTTGCAAAAAAATAATTTTGGGCTTGAATTAGTAATTTATTGGGAGTAAAGATGAAACTTGGTTTATATTTGCAAGGTTAAAAAGTTGCACAATCTTAGCGACACTGGAACTCTCTTGCTTCCTTTTGCAAAGTGCAATCCAATTCAAAGTGCTTCAATGATCCATAAAAAGCAAGAGGGACCAAGCTTCTGAAGCACTAATTTCTTAGGCATCATCTCAGAGGGCTTCAAGAACCCGGCAGCAAGAAAAAACGTTGTTAGTTTTTCTTGGTCTACAGCCTCTGTGCTTGCCAAAAAAGTATTCTGCAGCTTACAAAGGTTGAGAACCCCTGGTTTAATAAGTTTACAGGATTATTTTCAACATATTTATGAGTAGAAAATAGAAAAAAGAGCATTTAAGAAGAGAAAATATGCCGATCATTAATGTTATCATGTGGTATTTTCCATTTGTCCATGTTTATTTTAGCAAAGTCGATTTTTCTAATAAAGTTTAAACATACAGTATTTTTCAAATAAAAAAATTGATACCCCAATGTTCTGGCCACTCAGTAATTTCCATTTGAGAAATAATTTTATCAACTTTCACGCATCTGCATGATCTCCAGAGTCAATAGACTGCTGGACATAATTGTAAAATAGACTTTCACTGAGTAGGTCTGGTGAAAAAGAAGACAGCTCTTCTCTGGAGATAAGTGAAGTGACTTTCCATGAAGGTTCTGATGTTATTCCATCAACGTCTCTAGATTAAAATATAGAGTGCGTTACCTTCCACATTGAAATATTTGACTTGGAATTCGACAATGGAAAGATTAAATGAAAGAAAGTATATAATAATTACAAGAATTTTACCAAAGTTATTCCTCCAACGAAACTAACCACTGGAAGCTGAAATATAAAATTCTCAAGCAAGATTTCAATATTTAAGTTCTAAATGGAAAATTCAATTTAATGTCAGTTACTTACCAATTGATTTTGCCAATTTTTTGAAAGATTTTTTATCAACACTACTGAGACTAATCAAACTTCCTCCTAAAAAAAGAAAGAAAGAATAAGGAAAAATGATATCATAACAACTCGAGAAAATAGTATGAGCAAAGTTTTATAAAAAAAATTAAATGAAGAGCTTCAAAACATTATCCAAGACATGAAGGGAGAGAGAAGCGGATAAAACAGTCACTAAAATTTTATTGCATTTTAAGAGGAAGAAATTCTTAGATACGTCTGAAAAGGCGAGAAAGCAACCATTTGAGATCCAGAATATTAGGTCACACAGCATAAGGTAAGATTAATGGAGAGAATTTCTGGAGAAAAATGAAAGAATAGGAATGGATAAATCTTAAAGATCCTTAGCTGCAAGCTGGATTGACAGTTCCTTTCAATTTTCTCTTGTCAATGCATGTTTTCACCTTATTGCATACTTTATAAACATGTATAAAATAAGCAAAGAAATACTTTCTGCTTTCCTGATACAGTAAATTGTTTTGAAATCTGAGTAACAGATATTATGATCTTAATTACATTTCCAACAACACCTAGTAATCAAAACAACGTGCTTGTTTTATTTGCAACGATGCTCAGAGTACATGACTGTTTGAAACACTGTTCCAATCATCTGGAAGTTACTTCAGGTTTGCAATTTTTGGGAATGTAGAAGCTAAGCCTACCTAAAGTAGAGGCTGTGTGTGAAATTTGTCCTAGCGAGGAACGATGTTTTTCTTTTTTGATCAGTTCATTTTCTCCTTTGACTGTGAAACCAACTTTGACCTCTAGTTCCCCTCGGTCCTTGTCCTTATCTTTTCCTGGCTTGTCGCGCAGTTTCAGCCACCTGAAACCAAAATTTGATAAAATCAGTAAAAATTCCAAGCAAAATAGCAAAACATTAAAAAAAAACAATGTTAACCAGTCTGTAACTTTGGATTTATATTTAGTTTGTAAAAACCTTAACTCCTACGTAAAAATACACTTGGAGCGGGACGCCCCCGACTAACCGGACGCGACATTTTACAAATAACCGATTTTAACCAATTTTTGAATGCAAATAACTCCGATAGTCGCAAAAAGTCGGCAAAGTTCTCTGGCAGGATTGAAGTTGGGTGTCCATCCATGTCCACAGAATGGGAAAATATTAACCACCCACAGGAATATCCCAAATTATCAAGAAAATTTTATCTCAAGTCGAGAAATTAAATACTTACTGTATTTTTTATGGGGCAGTTCCTTTTCGATCGAGTTAATCTTCACTTCAATTCCAAATCTAAGCGGGTTCTTGGAGGGAAATAAAAAAAAGTATACTCTTGTGTCAGAAAAATTGTCCTGATCACGAATATCAAAACAATATTTGGAAAATTAAAAAGTCAATTTTCCATTTTTGTAGACAGGATTCCGCACTGTGGGAAGGTTTAAAAATATCGTAAGCTGTTCTCACCTATTTTTTGGCCATTCATAAACATCTAATTCAGCTAATGGAATGGTGACACAACCTAAAAATTCATCAATGCCAAAAATGTTATGATGCAGCACAGTTAGAATGATTTCAGCTGTGTTTCCATGATCTGGAATTTGCCTGAAACATAAGAAGAAAACAACATGATAAGGACGATCATTAAGAATTGATAAATGTCAGAAGATCTGTTAGAAGTGAATATTTCCTAATATCAATGTTCTGGCATAGGAGAATATTCTCTCACATTGCACTGCAATATTAGATCAATTATTTCCATTAGATTAATTAATAATTCTATTATCATTCTCGAAAAATTACCGATTTATTTTCCCAAAAAAGTCTGACTTAAAGATGAGAAAGGGTGAGCAATTAAAGATACATTTAATCTTCTCTACATCAAAGGGCTTGCAAAACATATTTCCCCTTCACCTTAATCTTTAGATGCCCACACCCGGTCAAATTGACCCAAGGCTTGTTAAAAACACATGTCCGGGGAAGGTTGTATGGGGCTGGTACATATGAGCTTCAGATATAGGTCTACAAATACATCCCAAAAAAAGAATCAGACACTGAATTGAAAAGAAAAGAAAACAGTTGAGTGTCAACGTAGCCAAATATAGAAGAGACGTATTCGGACCTTGTTTCTTAACTCTTTTCCCGGATCTGAGCGACGTCTCATTACCAGCATGGAGCGGAACGTTGCAAATTCACGCCTCGCGCCTTCAATTTTGCAGATGCAACACGGACATCCATCAAGCTTGAATAGTTGTATCTCTGCGCCGTTATCAACGTACGTCCTCTACTTAGCTCTATTTCCATATTGTGTTTGTTCCCGTTTATTTTATTTTTAATGATGCTTCAAGGGCTACGTAAGCACAACAGCCAAAGATAGAGGAGATCTAACCAGGCATCGTATTTTACTTATTTAACTTTTCTCCCGAATATGACAATGAGCTACACCTTATTGGCAGCATAGAGCAAAGCGTTGCAAATTCACGCCTCGCGCTTTCAATTTTGCAGATGCAACATGGGCATCCATCAAGCATGAATAGTTGTATCTCTGCGCCGTTATAAACATGCGTCCTTCATCCTGCTCTATTTCAATATTATTTGTGGTTATTATTATAGCTTCAAGAGGGGAAAAATCGATAATCGATCATTCACGCCTTGCCGCTGATATCAAAGGTAAAATTTCCAAACCACGTATGCGGTTGGCGACGTTGCAGACTTCCTGACATACTTCATTTTTATGATGAGAAACGACTCGACGTCAGTGAGTCCAACTTGAACCAATCCTCCATGATTTTCCTTCTCTGTGCGAGGTGAATTCTGACAAACTCCAAGGGATAATGCTGATTTGCTCTTCTTAAAAAGAAAATAAAATAGGATCGGCGGTTTGAAAATACCGCGAACGAGATACGTGGTTTGGGAGTTTCATCGTCGATATGTGGACGCATTCCTATTTCCTATCAAACGGAACTATGTGCATTAAGACATGAGCCCTGAGACCCATAATAATACGTGCATAACAGGGCTTATGTCATAATCATAATGCACATAGTTCCGTTTGACAGAAATGCGTCGACGTGATCAGGAATCGAGTAGCCACAGTCATCTTTTCATAGGCCAGGCACCAAGGGAATGAATAATGAATTAAATGCTGGAAAGCTGGAAATTTTTTTAAAAGACATAATATGAGGTCCTTAACGAGGAGTTAATTTTGCACCGTTCCTGAAGTGAAGCTTCAGCCGCCATCTTGGCTTGTCAGGCCTAAAATCGCTATTTTTTCGGTTTTCGGCCTAAAAGTCGGTAAAAAGTCATTGTTTCGTCAAAATACCTCAGTGCAAAAATAAAGCTTACACTGGAAAAAACCACATTGGATCTAGGGTCCAGACTCTTGAAAACATTGATAAGAAAAAATACTTTTGATTCAATCAGATTTTTGCTTAAATCAGAAGGAAATCCGCTCAAATTAAGAGGCTTGATTCTTGATTTAAGCTTGAATCTGATTGAATCAAGAGTATTTTTTCTTATCAATGTTTTTAAGAGTCTGCACTCTAGATCCAATGTGTTTTTTTCCAGTGTATAAAATTTCCTTTTAAAAAGGTAGCATACGTTTTTTCCATACGACCCACCCTTTTCGAGTTATTATCATCGCAAAGTTGGGCTTTTACGCTCAAAATCGGCCAAAACCGGTACTTTCAAGTTTCCAGCGCGCTACAACTTTAGCAATCCCATGTGCAATAGATGTTCGGAAACTTCTTAAAAATGGGCGCATTTTACAGCTACTGCTTATCACGTAATCCAATGAAGGTGAGGGTCAATTATTTCAGGCGCGTCGAAATTTCTGTCATAGACCACGTCTAACCTTCGACCTGATGAGATCGGCCATGGTAAACAGTTGCTATCCTCTCCTCCCACCCCCCTCCCGCAACAAAACAATGCCACTGAACATTTGGCAAACTTTCAGCAGTAAGGATCGTACGTTCTTAACCTTCAGCCCCAATTTTACAGTACGGCTGACAAAACTTCAACAACTTGAGGCACTTCCTTGCGGTCGTGTTGAGCACGGAATGGAGGGGCGACGGAATATGGATGACTCGAGGACTTAAATGAAATAATGCGTCGCGCATGCCATCTCTCAATTTTTAATTCGAGCACCGCACGGTGGTCTAGAACGTGGATTTAGGTGGACGCTGAACATGTAGTAATAGTAAGATAAGTTTATTTTAAACCGGTGCTTTAGCATTTAAGGCCATTTACACCCCTGTGTGTTTACATGGAAATCAAGGTTACATCGGTGAAAATACGAAAGGGTTGAGGGGGAAGGTTAAATTTTAAGTTTAGTGGAGCGCATAAATTCAAAAAGTTTTGCAGGACGAGTGGTATTCAGAAGGAAATTTTTAAGAGAGGGTAAGGGGCGGGGAAAAAAACGTTTTCGGATTTCTTTATAAAGTAGGCAACTTATAAGAACGTGATCTAGTCGTTCGGTAGTTAAACGACAACCATCAAAAAACACCTTCACCTTTTTAATGTAAGTAATTATGATCTTAATAATCTAAAAACTTATTTAAGTTACCTTTAATTTCACATATTGATGTTTCTATTAACTGGTTAGATCTAAATAATTATCATACATCTGGATTAATAGGACGTATTTATGCTAAAAAGAACTATGTCTCACAGTGGCGTGGCGTGCTTTGCGATATATCGATTGTTATGCCGTTTAAACCTATGGAGAAGGATCGATAATCAGGGTGTTCGCAGCGAACACCTTTATAATCGATTCTTTATCATATGTTTAAATGGCAGAACAATCGATAAATCGCAAAGCATGCCACGCCTCTGATGTCTCACGCAAATCCTATGCACATAATTTCTTTTAGCAGACATGCGTCCTATAGAAACCAAAACTATTGGAATAATGTGTATCGGAGAAATATTAATACCTTTTGAGTTTAAATTTCCAATTTTTATATATTTCTTATATTTCTATATTGATTTGCCTTCCCCTTAAAATTTTAGGAGCAACTTCGGCCAGATAACTCAGTTTTTAGGAGCCGTCTACAATTTTTCAGGAGCAAAAGTACTTTCTGCAAATGCGTCATGGCGCGTGAAATTGCGAGTTAGAAAAAATTGACGGGATGCTTCAACTTTTTTAGGCGCCACGATGACCTAGCTCTCCCAATTTTCAGGCGCCGAAGCCCAATTTTTAGACGTATTTAGCGATGGGAGAGCAGAACACTGAGCATGACTCAATGAGAATCGGCGAAACTAATGTCTCGCTAGGCGACTCAACTTACATGGGAGTGAACACGGGGAAAAGATGAGTAACTCTTACAATGCTCATAAAACGGATTTCAGGTCGTACCTAGGGAGCGTATGCATTCGAAAAATGAAAACGTGAATCGATAGAGAAAAGCCGTGAATGGATCGACAAAAGCCGTGAATGGATCGAATTTTATCAATAGATTCATTTTTTCATTTTTCGATCGAATCAACGCGGTTTTTTTTAAATTAACGGTCGATCGAATCGGTGTCGATTGATTCATGTCGATCGAACCGACACTGGTTTTTTAATAATTGGTCGATCGGCTCGGTATCGAGGATTCATGTCGATCGATTCACGTTTTCATTTTCCGATCGATTCCTGTCAATCGAATCCATACCCTTCGTACCGAGTCTTGATTACGATGATATTTTTGTGTTATTTTGCAACGTTGAAATATAGTTCCTTCCTTTTGTCTGGAAAATAACGTATTGGGCCACGGTGCGCCGCACATTGGATCGAAACAGGTAGAGAGGTCGGACGTGAAATTTTTGACTAAAACTGCAAATTTGGATGTTCATTTCATCACATTTTAAATTTTAAGGAATGTTACCACAAGAAAATACAGCGAGGAAACCAATGGAACCACTGTTAGAGCCTCAACATTTTGTATAAACGGAGAAATAAGCTTTTAAAGTTTTCAAATTGTGTCCGACCTTTCCTATTGGCTCGATCCGCTGTGCGCCGCACGCGCATCGAGTTCGTCAACACGAAACCATAAAACGATGCCTCATTTTCTGAAGTCCCTGCTACTCGCGAGGGCTTCGTTCTTAATTCGGCGCCCTCCTGACATAAGGACGTGACTTAACTCTGCAATGAACCCTGTCGTCCGTACGCTTCAATACTTTCCAGGGCTCACCTCGACTTGCGGATGCGCCTTTTCGTCGGACGGGTCCGAAGCGCGATCGTCGAGTGCTTTCGCTTTTCGTGTGCAGTTATTGCTCGTTTCCACCGACGACGGCCATACTGCCGTGCTTAGGAAAAACGCCGTATCAACATTCAAGAGTTGCCAAATTTCCTTCGATAAAATTTCGATTTTTGAAGAAAGCTATGGATATTTGGACCGCGTTTAACAAAAAGGAGCCAAGCCACATCAGCTATTGCCAATTTTAACTGGGCGATTTAATTTTATACGAGAAAACGTTTGTGCGAATTCCTTTGAAAATTTGAAGGAATTTGCTTCGTACTATAGAAAAAATTCACTGAAATTTGCACGAAAATCCGCACAACTGTTTTTATGTAAAAAATTAAATTGGCCCATTAAATTTGGCAATAGCTGCTGTAGCTTGGT